GAAAGATTTTCTTGTGAGGACCAGTTATTTTCAGGAACCTGAGAGAGATTTTCATGGGAACTTGTTTGTACTGGAGTCAAACTATTACTACGACGGTTAAGACGTCGATTGTCTACAACGGATGTAAAGAAATTCACTGGTTCAGGGTTGGGAGACACGGATTCATCACTAGATTCGTTTACTGGTTGACTGAAATTGTTTGGATAAACTCGATCCATAACCTGCCCATAACAAATAACCATACAATTAATATTTTCATTAAGAAACTTCATGTTTTAATTCACTGCAGAAAAATTATAAATAATAAAAGTACTTAAACAAGAAAAATAAAATTATTTTCACACACTTCTTTAGATTAGAAATACATGAAGTGCAAAGAGACTCTTTCCGATTTGAAAAGAAAAGCAAAAGGCAGAATCTTGCCAAATGATTTAATCAAAATACTGCATTTAAAAGCAGTTGTCACCGCAATATATAAAAAAGATTACAATAAGCTTATTGAGAATTATAGACTGCCTATACTATCGATATGTAACTTTGCGAAACTAATATTGCTTTCGTGAAAAGCAGGACGGTGAATGCTTTAGCCCGAATAATATATCTACGATAAATTAGGCAAGAGCAGTTGATAGTAGCTGCCTCCCTGAATCTGTTTAGTTGCCAATGCACTCTAATACTGAATACAGTAACAATACCTATAGCGAAGTCTTTACACAACTTCAATCCTGATATTGAGATACCCAAGGCGCTATCCTGAATCCGCTATTATATGTATAATGTATACATAAATGATGACACTGAGATTACGACTAGAATTTGGTTGAGAACTATCGTTTGGTTACAAGCAAGACTACATCTCAACATGGTTAATACCATATATATAGCATTTACCATTTACAAATACATATTTCTGCCTGACCTGGACATTTGTGTAGACCTATATCTAGAGTTGAGAAGTACCTGGAGTTGAGGATTAATAACGGTTTTATTAGGTGGAGCAGTCGCATCAACAGCATTGTGGCACACTCAATTTACTCAATTTAGGAATTGATCGTACTTCTCCCTGTTGTGACACTTATGTAATATGTACTATACTGTTCTCTTATGCAGAGTATTCTGAAATAAGTAGCAAGGTTTGGAAGGTGTTAACTGGATACAAAATGAGAAGGCATGATGAGTAAGCAGTGTGGTCAAGAGACAAAACTCCCATTAAGTAAATTTCCAAACCACCATTGAGGCATTGCTGAGGTGCGTTTTTTTTTATAGGCGGTTCACCAATAAAAGAAATTAATTACAACACCAGTAAATACAGACACACACACACAAACATATGTACCATGATCCAGACTACGCGCCAGCCAGGGTACATGGCCAATATGTCCAATCGAACGTCTAGAAACTCACGCACTGGACAGTGCAATATTATTCTGCACTGACCTATGACACAGGCACACTGACTTATTGACTCGACTGACTACATACATATATACAAGTCTACAACGTTCAAAAAACAAAGAACTATTCTAGTTTGGCTATCACACTTAATCTAATCTAACAAATAACAATGCATGTGTCAAAAGTACAAAATAAATACAACAGCATACTGCTAACCACCAGCTGATTGAATGAGGAGTTGCATTGTCATATTTTTCTGCGTTATCCTACCTACCAGACCGGACTGGCTCTTGTCTGAACTCTCAAATGCGTTTTAAACAGTAAACATTCGAGCCACAAACCATTTAATTAATTTTCTTATTTTATAGTGTCCTATCGCCTCCTTCAAGCTTGTTACTTATTTCAGAAACACATTATACATTCTCGACTAAAATTTTGTGAAATCAGATTTCTATTTTTTCTTACCAGTATCATTGGTGTATATTTTATTTAATAAGTAAATTATAAGAGTACAAATAAAAAGAAATAACCAAAATAAGATAATGCATCACTCACTCACAACTTAAAAATATGAACAATAGGTAGGTACTAGATTTTTAAAACTTAATGAACTCTAATATATATAAGACTTAAAAGAAGAGATAAATTCCTGATAAAATCAATAAGCATATTCATCAATTTACATAAGCGAAAAGTGGTCGAGTTATAGCAATTCCCATATTGAGTACTCCCTTTGACATTAATAATTTTTGGAACAGTTAGTTGGTCATGATATAACTTAAAAGCAAAACAATATTCATGACAGAGGTGAAGCTACTTGATAGTAAATACATATTAAGTCTACATAGAACAGAATGATGAAATTGTGATCGGAAAAATGCATTGGTGAAGCAAGTAACAAAGAAATATGTACCGAAGGTTCCTAAGTTGTTCAGTAGTTGGACCAAACAATAAGACCAAAAACTTTACTGAAATCAAGATACAATATATCGATTCACGCGAAAATAAATGAGTCATGATTTATTAATACACGTAAAACAAGCTTTAATACTGCTGCCATAACATTATGAAATAAGAATAGAAACTAATAATTTAACATTGAAACTTGTTATTAATCTTACCTGTTTTAATACTTGCTTAAAAGATTTCTTTTCTTCTTTATTAAATGCAGGATGTACGAAAACATAAGACATTATCTCTACACATTCGTTGTATATTTTATAAGGCTGGACAACAAACTCAGACAGTACTCTCTGTATTGTGACAAGATAGCTCTCTGCAGCTTCCCTGTTATTGGGGCTTAATAAAGGCAAATGTGACAACAATATTGATAACACTAACTGTGGTCGTTCAGAAAGTAGATTAGAAATAAAAATAGGGTCATTTGCATTTCTTTCCATCATCTGTGCTTCAGGAGTATTTACAGCAGCAATTGACTGTTCCAATGCATGTTGTAAAAATCGAGCGTTTGCAAATGGTAGACCAACCATTAAATAGTAAAGAGCTACTGTTCTTTCACAACTGTCCCACTTATAAAAACGAAGGCGCATTTCGTTTAACTGTTCACAAAATTCCGAAAAATCTCTCATTTGAGGGTATTCCATTTTTGAGGGTGTCTAAAATTAAAATGCATTTACAATTCTAGCTTACATTAAGATCTAATAAACTAAAATGAAATCGAAGGTATGGTAAAAGCTGAAGGAAGGCAAATAATATAATTTTAAATGCAATGCCAAATGTGATAACTTTGATTATTTTTTTGCATACAACGTTTTACAACAAATTAAATACTATAAAAAATACGTATTAAAAAAATAAATTAAAAAAGGTACATATTTCATAGATAGTATACAATTTTGTATTTTGCATTTGAAATGGCAAATTAATAAAGTATTTGCATTTCATATTTATATACTTTTAATAAATCATTTTCTGCTAAAATACAAAATGTTTTTTTGTAAAAAATAGCAAGTAATTAGCAAACATCAAATTTTTTATTCCTACCATAAGTAATTAAATTTTCATCATTTTAAATTTGTCACTTATTTGTCCAATTAACAACATGGAAAAAGGAACTATCCTACGCTTATTAAATTATTTGGATAACCACTATATTAATAGTTTACTACATTTTATCTGGTATTTCTGGATATTTTGTTAGCTTTTTCATGTAGATGTACCTACTACAGGTGTACAGTTAAGATTTGACGTCAGAACTTTTACATTAATTATAAAATTAATTAATATTCATAAAGAATTATGACTTTAGTTAACATGAATATTCGCAAACAAAATTAAAATGTTCGATTGAGTGAATTTGAATTACCATTTAAAAAACTTTGGCGAAGTGAAAATTCTGTAACATGGATATAAATATACAAAAGTACCTCTAAGGATAGAAACAAACGCAAACATTCGAATATGTAACATTGATCTTACCTTTACACATTTATTACGATTCTTAAATCTTTTACTTGTAAACAGAATGGCACTTTTTCGTCTTTTCACACCCTAGAGGAAAATAATTTTGTTAAAAACATTCGTACGAAATGACATATTTCTAATGACTAATCACAAATCCACAGATACATGAAGTATGACAGACGCATTAGTACATACTGCTCATAGATAGGCTACTGCTAGACAATTGTGTGAATCTGGCATCCGATATAAATAATCTTCCAATTTAAACTTTACCAATAAATTGTGCGCCGTTTGCGCGTTCAAAATATGTACGTATCACAATTGTGCGTTCATTAGTTCTGTTAAAAAAAAAAAGGAAACTGTTTCGGATGTAGGTGGAAATTAAATGTAAATTTATTCAAAAACTACTGAAGGTATGATAATTAGTTGACGCTAAATGATTGCGTGTGATTTGTGCTTGAATACTGATCGAATATGGTAAGCCGAATTTATCTTTATATTATTGCTTTAGCCGTATGTCGTTGTAATAATTTCTTGGTTCGAAAAGTGAGGGAGATGGCGTATGATTTCGGACTAGTGCTATCTCTTTGTCCATGTCCATTACTAAACGTCAATGATACATAGACAAATACTACTATTTTTCATTGATATTACTAATGCGCGTGCGCCATTGGTGAATCATAGATAATAGTATGGTCATTGAAAAATTTTTAATTATTTGTAATCATTACTAATAAATGATATAAAAATAAACTCCACTTGGCATAATTAATTATTTAATTAGTAGTTCAATCTTCAGGCACAAATGACACGCAATTAATTGGCATCAATTAAATTATATCTTCAAAAGTTTTTGAATAAATTGGCATTCAATTTTCAGCTGCATTTCATTTCTATATCATAGATATTTACCTAATAAACAAACAGCATTAAAAAATACTGTAGCTGTAGGCAACTCAACATACTGTTAAATGTAGGCAACCTAACATATTCTGGACATATCACCGCATTGTTTTTTGGGCTAACCAAGAAAATGCCAATGATTTCAAAAAAGACATGCATAAGCAAGGAGTAAGAGAACTAATTCAAAGTTTTTGTGGCTTTCCCTGTAGTGCTGGTACGCAAGAAGGATGATTCCACTAGATTCTATGTGAACTACAGGAAGATGAACGACGTAATGATGAATCCACTACCCCGAATCGACGACACACTAGATAGTCTAGTTGGAGCTAAGTGGGGTTCTACTTTTGATTTAAAAAGTGAATACCAGCAATTTTTTGCTCCAGTCATTGAATGGAGAGGTAAACATATGAAATTGATTGAAAAAAAATAACAATTAGACCGGATATTCATTGCATAGACACTACTGCAAGGTATTGATTATCTGTTGGATACTACTAATCTACCGTGAATATTCATCCATTGAATTGTATTCATTTACTATTATTTATCTATGACTATTATCTATGGAAAATATATAGACAAAAGATGAAATATTAGAAACATAACTGAGATTATCTGTGATTATCTATGTCTGTGATTGAGACCAGTTGATAAGTTTTCCTTTTCGTGAAAATAATAAGTTTGTGTATCATCACTCCACTTCTTGTCTTTTTATCTTGGTATATATCCTTCCAATTTCCATTTCTGCCTTATACCTTGTTGGAAGGCGTCTGTTATTTTATTTTTGTACGAACGTGAATTTTTCTTGTTCTTGTAATCGGTTTCATGATACTTTTCCAGGATTTTCCCTTTTATATTTTTGGTGTATGCTTGGCTTGCATAAGCTAAGCTTGGGAGGATTCAGGAATTCGTCATTTGTGAACTTTAATGTGTCGGCCATTCGTTTACTATTTCATCATCATAAGGTCGTCAGTCCTAAGACTGGTTGGATACGTACCTCCACTCTCCTATCCTTAAACTTCGCATTTCCCTAAAACTAGAACAGCTCACATCCTTAACTATTTGCGAACAGTAATCTAATCTAGGTCTACCTCCTGTTTCTGCCTCTAATATGTTTCTGAGTAGACCTTCATGCCTGAGAAGATGTCCACCTATCTCGCCTATTTCTTATTGACTTCCATAGAGTTCTCCGTACTCCTATTCTTTCTAATACCTCTTCATTTCTAACCTTTTCTATCCACGTTATCCTTATCATTCGCCTATAACACCAAATTTCGAACGCTTCTAACCTTTTCCGCCGTGCCCACTGTCCATATTTCGCACCCGTACAACACCGCACTCCAAACATATACCGTTAACAACTTTTTTCGAATTTCTAAATTAACCGCTCGCTAGCATAGAAGTGACTTCCAGTTATTAAAGGCGACACAACCCTGCGCTCTAATTTTTCGTCTCTTATCTTTATATTCGCTCTTTCCCTACTTTTTCTTCCCTTGCATACCAGTGTTTTAGTTTTACTTTTATTAATTGTCCTTGCTGGATGCTAATACTGCTATATCATCTGCAAATCTAAGCATACTAAACTTTTGCCCCTGTATATTTATCCCTACAGTTGTACTGTCTTTAATGATTTTGATCGCGTCTTCGATGTATAGATTAAAAAGTAGCGCTGACAGTGTGCATCCCTGTCTGACTCCCTTCCTAGTATTTACTTCTCTACGTTGCAACCCTAGCTCTATAACTGCCTGTTGTTCTTTAAACATCACTCTTCTATCTTTGTAACTCATCCCTACATTTTTCAGTATATTTAACATCTTATCCCATTTAACACTGTCAAAAGCTTTTTCTAAATCTACAAATCCTATGTGCGCATTCTTTCTTTTTTTCTATCGTTTTCTCTATTTTTACAAGTAAAGCTAGAACGGCCTTCTGCGTTCCTCTATTTCTTCTAAACTCAAATTGATCTTCCTGTAATAATTCTTCCACCCTTTTTTCCATCCTACTCTATACAATTCTAGTTAAGATTTTTGACGCATAGGAAGTTAAGCTAATTGTTCTAAATTTCTTCCAACTATCCGCGCCTCTCTTTTTAGGTATGGTTACTACCACGTTTCGTTTATAATCCTCTGGAACTTTCCCTGTCTCGTAAATGTGACTAACTAGCTTAAACATACGATCTCTAACCTCTTGTCCTGCATGTCTTAGAATTTTCCCCTGTATCCCATCTACCCCTGGCGCCTTATTATTCTTTAAGTGTTTTAATGCTACATCGAACTCTTCTCTCATTATAGGATAACGTAGCTCATCTATCTGCACACTGTTTTCCTTCTCTAATATAACTGAGGGCCTACGTATAGGTTCTCTAAATATTCTTTCTACCTATCTGCCTTTTCCTCATTTGTCAACAAAATTACCCCTGTCTCGTTTCTTATATTATTACTACTGTACCCTACATTTCTAAAATTTCTTTTATATTATACGCCTCATCGGCTTTACCTACTTCAAACTTTTCTTCTAGTTCTTCACAAATCCTATCAATCCACTGTTCCTTAGCTGCCCTACACTTCCTAATTATTTCACACTTTATAGCTTTAAATCTTTTTTGTTCGTCGTCGTCTTTCTTGTTTTTGTATTTCCGTTTTTTTTGTATTAATCCTAAAATTTCATTTGTTATACAGGGTTTCCTACATTCGTTTCGTTTAAGACTAGTGTTGCCCAAATTCAGTCTTGGTCTTGCAGTCTTGGTCTTGTTCTTGCGTTTTTGCAAGACCAAGACCAAGAACAAGACCGCGTATTTTTAGCAAGACCAAGACCAAGACTACCGCGTATTTTTAGCAAGACCAAGACCAAGACTGACCGTGCAAGACTTGAGCAAGAACAAGACATAGCCTGCAAGACTCTTGCGTCTTGCAGCTAGGACTTAGCGCTATTTCACTGAGTAGTTAGGTGTAACAGTTCGGTGTATAGGTAGGTACGCTTAGGAATTCTATGAGACGCAAAAAACTGTATCAAAGAATATGAAAAACTGGACCTATGCGCATTACGACTAATACCATAAACATAGCGAATAAAAAAATTATTAAAATCAAACTGAGTGCATGCATAGTTATGTTTTAACCATCGGCACTTTGATAATGCGGCATCAAAGGTTTTGTACTTACTTCTCAAAGAAATTTGCCGCTTTTCGGAAGTACATGGTTATGATACACGCGCCGGCGGCTTCTTTTGAAATCTAAAACAATCGTTGCCGCCACGCCGAAATCATAACATTTGACACTATTTGATTGCCGCCATAGGGTGTAGGTATACTCATGCAAAATAATTTCGAATTTTTTTACACGCTTTATATTATTGTTTGATTTGCGGCGGCATCCTTATCATAGAGCCGGCACGTGGCGAGGCGGCGCGGTAGAAAGCAAGGATCATAAATGTTTATTAAGAAACAGTTACTTCCATGGAAAACGACATATAGGTCAGTTGATTTTTCGAATTTCTTATCAAATCTTCAGTTATTTATTAATCTGCTTGATCTTTACTATGGCTATATTCATTCAAGCTCACAATGTTCCAATTCTAATACGTTTTTCTAGGATTTAAAGTAAACTTTAATAAATAGTAATAGACTAATAGGTAATTGCAAGACTTGCAAGACTCTTGCTGCAAGACCAAGACCAAGACCAAGACTGGGAGCGCAAGACCAAGACCAAGACCAAGACCAGGTGTATTGGCGCAAGACCAAGACCAAGACTGGCTAAGTCTCGTCTTGTTCTTGCGTTTGGGCAACACTATTTAAGACCTAGTATATCTGTAGCTGCTGACTTTAGGCATGTTTTAATGCGGATCCATTCTGTCCCGGTCAGTAGTTTATCCCGCCGCCTTTAGTATTTTGTCTGTCCTTGTACCTAGCACATCACGCGTTTCGTTACATTTTAACTTTTCAGTCAGTCAAGACGTCTCCTACCTTCCCTCTTTTTCAAAAATTTTTAAATCTTTGCCTAATAACTATGTAATCTAAATAATATCTCCCTAAAACAGCTGGCATCTTCCACGTATAGCGCCTCTAACGTGATGGTTAATTAAAGTATTCGCCACGGTTAAGTTAAGTTTATCGCAAAATTCTATCAGCCTATCTCCCCTATCATTTCTACTGCCTAATCCAAAAGAACCTGCTACTGCATCCACTTTACCCTCACCTATTACTGCGCTGAAGTCTCTTACAACTATTAGGT